GTGTGTAAAAAAAACTTTGAAAAATGCAAACTAGTTGCTTGCGGTGGATAGGAGTATCGCACATGATGTGTCTGCGGGTACTCGTGTGCGATGATTAGTATGTTACACATACGTTTCCTTATGTGAACATATGTGTGAATTTGCAATATGGACAGTTAATATGCAAATGCCTTCTGGACATCTGGCACACGCTTAAACTCAATGAACTGTGTACGATACTAATACTTTCCATGAAAAGTTATGAACTTGGGTAACAACATTTGAGTAACATATATATATAGTGGTTACACTATTCGACAAAAGGAGGATCTTCGTAACACAGTTTTGACAACCATATGATCCATATCTACATACTTAATATAGTAACAACTATCACATTTTAAGAGGCTAAGGGCCAACAACCATATGGTCCATATCTACATACTTAACATATATAGTAATAGCTAGCACATTTTAAGAGGCTGAGGGCCAACAACCACAACTATCCACTGGAAGCAGCTTGATCACGGAGACTCGACATCTCGTCAATGAAAAGGAAGAGCCCTCCTGTGCCTTGGTAGAGTAGGAGTAGAATAGTGTCTCCAATTTTCGAATATGGATGCATTGCCACGAGAAGCAAGAACTTGTTAATTTGAATGGTTCCATTTTTGCGGGAAATGCAGTACCTTGCAATCACTTTGGCGTTATTAGCAGGCACCAGTGTAATTCGACCACACCGGGAAATCAATCCAGGAATGACTGAAGGGGGTAATTTCTGTTGACATGTAGAATAAAAAACAATTGTAACATATATAGTTTATGAGCATCAACATTAAAATTAATACTTTTTACCAGCGCTTTGTGCACACAATTGGTCTTGTTCAGTGTGTGCACCATAGGTTTAATTAATCCCATCCAAAATCCATCGTTCATACACTATGCTATCTCTGTCAGATTATCAACAAAGTTTATGACATGCTTCAAGTCCTTCCAGTGAAAATTGGTACGCTTAGTAACATACAGATCATTCACTATGCATCCAACATATCCTGCTTAAAAGGTGGAAAGGTATTATTTATTTAGAACATGGCAGAAGAATATATAGTGCGCATAAATTGGTAAACAAAATTTGTTACTGCCTAGGAACGGAGTCAGAATATGATATCACAATTGGTTGATTAAATAGTGATCAATTGATTGCTTAAATAGTAATATGACAGCATGGAGAAAGTTGAAAGGACACTAACCTCGATCAGACTTTGATCGGCTGACGACGTTAGGGAAGTAAAGATCCATGTTAATTAGACCAGGCTGTGGTGCACGCACTAGAATTTTATTGCCAGCTTTCAGTTCATAACACTTAGACATTTTTCTCCGAAGGTCCGCATTAAAATAGGAGTGACCATCTTTATCAAGTTTTACGCTAACCGTCATTATTAACCGATGTTGCGTTGTCAATATGACATCCAGGGAGTCATCAGCAAAGTAAAGCCCAAGATTTCCTTCTACTTCTGTTCTTGCAAAGCAAGGGATGTACTGCTTGAAATGAAAATTAAGATCATAAATTAGATTTATTGAAATAACCGAGCAAGATGCAAATATGGGAGTAACTGCTAGAACATATCCATATATAGATGCAAGCAAAGTACAAAAATATAGAATTAAAAATAGATAATGTAACAAAGATTTGATGCAAATATATAGATAATGTAGCAACAGACAGTATATGTTCACAAATTTAGGCCATGCCGACCGTGGTAGGTTGATATTGAACATACCGAGCGCTCCCTGAAGTCATCCGGAATGGTGAGATAGAACTTCGTTTCTGACTGGCCACGACCACAATTGCCCGATTTGTGCTTGCACTGTGCACACATGAATGAACACCCATGAATCAGCTAGAACAAAAATGATTCCACGGCTATTTCCGCCGGTTGATTAACAGCGGCGGACATACTGCGATAAGAGATGAGTGAATATTTCACTAATTAAGTTGATTACCTTCTCCATGAGAAAAATCCCAGGCCCAATCCCGCAGAAAACCCCAGTCGACCAGAGTTTAAAATGTCGGTGCAGATAGGCGGAAGAAAGCGGTGGAGGCAAAATCCGGTGCCATTTGGAGCGCGACCTACGGCCGTTGCCAACAGCCGTCGAGCTTAGGGTGCAGAGTTGCGGAGGAGTCCGCGGCGAGTGAGTGGGGACGAAGTGGGTGAGGGTTTTCTTTTCCTTTTGCATGTGTGAGTGAACACACACGATTCATTGAGGCGACGGAGATGAACCGTGTGTGATAGCAAATCACCGAGATTGAATGGGAATCCAAATTTCCTTTGTCTTTCATCCATGAGTTTTTTTTCTATGATGAACATAAACCATGCTAATCCCCGTGTTCAAATTTGACACTTGTCCGGGTTCATTTACAATATTTAGGGGATTATGTGCATTTTGTAGGCATTAATTCACGTAATTCAAATTCAAACAATTGGTGCATGAAAGGGTGCACAAGAACGGTCTGGAAAAACCATACTCGTGGTATTTAGTAATTTCTCTAGCCTTTTACAAGGAATGGGCAGAGATTTCAATGGAGTCAACCACAAACGCGTCATTTACTGGGTTATCAACTATAGAACAATGAAATATGTGCTTGAAAAACATGACGGCTGGCATGGTGCCATGGTATGGCCTCACCATGCCCTGGTTAAAAGCTGAGAAGGTTTGATTTATGTCATCATGCACGCCCTTAATAAATCGAACCATCACCGAGGAAGTTCAATGCTTTCAAGAGGGAAATCACAAAGATTGAAGGGGAATCCAAATTTCCATACTAGTTTGTCTTTCAGATTTTTTTTTCAACGATCAACATATCGCCTCAAATGAAACATGTTCAAATTTGACATTTTCCGAACTCATTTACCATATTTAGGGGATTGTGTGCATTTTCTAGGCATTAATTATGCACATAATTCAAATTTGAACAATCGGTGCATGAAAAAGTGCACAAGAACGGTATGGGAAACCATGCTCATGCTATACAAAAAATGGAACACATGGTTGGAAAACATGACGCCTAGTGTGGTGCCATGGTATGGCCTCACCATTCCCCTGGTAAAAATTGGAGAATGTTTTCCTTATGTCGTGATGCATGCCTTTCATAAAATGAACCATCATCCGAGGAAGTTTCATGGTTTCAAGGGGGAAATCACCAAGATTGAAGGGGGATCCAAATTTCCTTTGTCCTTTGTCCATGAGTTTTTTTTCTATGATGAGCATACAACCTACAAATCACCGTGTTCAAATTTGGCACTTTTCTAGGTTCATTTGCCATATTTAGGGGATTATGTGCATTTCCTAGGCATTAATGCGCATAATTCAAGTGCAAACAATCGATGCATGAAAGGGTCCACAAGAATGGCCTAGAAAACCATGCTGTGTCATTTAGTAAATTCTCATGCCTTTTACAAGGAATGGACAGATATTTCGATCAAATGTGTGGCAAAAAAGGAAATGTTTGTTTGTTGGGTTTTCAACTATAGAAAAAATGAAATAAATGCTTGAAAACATGATGCCTGGCATGGCGCTATGGTATAACCTCACCATGCACTGGTAAAAATTTGAGAAGGTTTGGCTTATGTCGTCATGCACGCCCTTCATAAATCGAACCATCACCGAGAAAGTTCCATGCTTTCGAGAGGGAAAATCCCCAAGATTGAAGGGGAATCCTAATTTCTGTCCTAGTTTGTCATTTAGTTTTTTTCCAACAATCAACATACCGCCTCAAATGCAACGTGTTCAAATTTGGCATTTTCCCAGGCTCATTTACAATATTTAGGGGATTATGTGCATTTTCTAGGCATTAATTATGCACATAATTCAAACTCGAACAATCAGTGCATGAAAAGGTGCTGAAGAACGGTCTGGAAAACCATGCTCGTGTTATTTAGCACATTCTCATGCCTTTTACAGGAATGGGCAGATATTTCAAGGAAATGTGTGGCAATAGTCAACCATAAACAACTATACAAAAAATGAAACACATGGTTGGAAAACATGACGCCTGGCTTGGTGCCATGGTATGGCCTCACCATGCCCCTAGTAAAAATTGGAGAATGTTTTCCTTATGTCGTGATGCATGCCTTTCATAAATCGAACCATCACGGAGGAAGTTTCATGGTTTCAAGGGGGAAATCGCCAAGATTGAAGGGGGGGGGTACAAATTTCCTTTGTCCTTTGTCCACGAGTTTTTTTCTATGATGAACATACAACCTGCAAATCACCGTGTTCAAATTTGGCAATTTTCCGGGTTCATTTACCATATTTAGGGGATTATGTGCATTTCCTAGGAATTAATGCGCATAATTCAAGTTCAAACAATCGATGCATGAAAGGGTCCACAAGAACGACCTAGAAAACCATGCTCGTGCCATTTAGTAAATTCTCATGCCTTTTACAAGGAATGGACAGATATTTCGATGAAATGTGTGGCAATAGTCAACCACAAATGTCTACTTGTTGGGTTTTCAACTATAAAAAATGAAATAAATGCTTAAAAACATGACGCCTGGCATGGTGCCATGGTATGACCTCACCATGCCTTGGTAAAAATTTGAGAAGGTTTGGCTTATGTGAAATCAATACTATAATTAAGCAATTGTTTTCTTTTAATATCTTTTTCAAATCTCCAATCCACAACAGGTAAATCTATCGGACATACGCGAACACATACTTCACAAGCAATACATTTATCAAATTCAAAGTGGATTCGCCCTCGGAAACGCTCTCGTATAATTGATTTTTCATAAGGGTAGTCAATCGTTATAGGTAAATGATTTGTGTGGGATAAGGTAGTTATGAAACTTTGACCTATGTACCTTGTAGCACGTATTGTTTGTTGACCATAACTCATGAACCCAGTTACCATAGGGAACATATTCATTCTAAATATCTATGAAAAATATATGTTTCTTTCTCTTGTTTGAGAGAGCTTTTATGTTGAAAATATTCTTACTATTATTGTATTATCTTATTTATAGTGAAACAAGTTGAGAAGAGGCTGTTAATAAGAGATTTCCCAGGGAAATAGGTAAAAGGAATTTCCATCCAAGATTTAATAACTGATCCATTCTCATCCTCGGTAAAGTCCATCTTATTGTGATAGAAATGAAGAGAAATAAATAAGCTTTAGTTAATGTAATAAATATACCCATTGTCATTTCCAAACTTCCAATTGCTTTATTCATTTAGAAAAAAAATCAAAAAAGGATATATAGGGAATAGATAAATTCCACCCGCCCAAGTACAGAACTGTTACAAATAAAGAAGAAACTAATAAATTTAGGTAAGAAACAAGATAAAATAAACCATATTTGATACCGGAATATTCAGTTTGGTAACCTGCTACTAATTCTTCCTCCGCTTTTGGTAAATCAAAGGGTAATCTTTCACATTCCTCCAAAGAAGAAATTAAAAAAACAGAAAACCTATAGGCTGACGCCAAATATTCCATCCAAAAAACCGTATTTTGGCAGCGATCTGGCATTGGGTATATTGGGACCTAGAAATATTCTCTGATGAGCGGACGGGAAAACCCTCTTTGAATTTGCCCAAGATCTTTGGGATTCATTTATTTCTTGCAGGGGTGGCTTGCTTTAGCTTTGGGGTATTTCATGTAACGGGTTTGTATGGTCTTGGGATATGGGTATCCGATCCTTATGGACTAACTGGAAAAGTACAAGCTGTAAATCCAGCGTGGTGTGCAGAAGGTTTTGATCCTTTTGTTCCCGGGGGGGGGGGTAGCTTCTCATCATATTGCTGCGGGTACATTGGGTATATTAGCGAGCTTATTCCATCTTAGTGTCCGTCCGCCTCAACGTCTATATAAAGGATTACGTATGGGCAATATTGAAACTATACTTTCCAGTAGTATCGCTGCTGTTTTTTGCAGCTTTCGTAGTTGCTGGAACTATGTGGTATGGGTCAGCAATGACCCCAATCGAATTATTTGTTCCTACTCGTTATTAGTGGGATCAGGGATACTTCCAGCAAGAAATATCGAAGAGTTAGCAATGGTTTAGCCGAAAATCTTAGTTTATCAGAAACTTGGTCTAAAATTCCCGAAAAATGAGCCTTTTATGATTATATTGGTAATAATCCGGCAAAAGGGGGATTATTCAGAGCAGGCTCAATGGACAATGGGGATGGAATAGCTGTTGGATGGTTAGGACATCCCGTCTTTAGAGATAAAGAAGGACGTGAGCTTTTTGTACGCCGTGTGCCTACTTTTTTTGAAACATTTCCGGTTGTTTTGGTAGATGAGGAGGGAATTGTTAGAGCAGACATTCCTTTTAGAAGAGCAGAATCCAAATATAGTGTTGAACAAGTAGGTGTAACCGTGGAGTTCTATGGTGGCGAACTTAATGGAGTAAGTTATTCTGATCCTGCTACTATAAAAAAATATGCGAGGCATTCTCAATTAGGGGGAATTTTTGAATTAGACCGGGCTACTTTGAAATCTGATGGTGTTTTTCGCAGCAGTCCAAGGGGTTGGTTCACTTTTGTTCATGCTACCTTTGCTTTGCTCTTCTTTTTCGGGCACATTTGGCATGGCGCTAGAACATTGTTCCGAGATGTTTTTGCTGGTATTGATCTAGATTTGGATGCTCAAGTGGAATTTGGAACATTCCAAAAAGTGGGAGATCCAACAACAAGGAAACAGGCAGTCTGATACACATTGTTATAGTATCTTTCACCTCTCTTTTTTGATTTGACATGGGAAACATCTCCCAACCTTTCTTTGACTCTTTTTCTTTCTTTATATGGGAAATTATCCCAAATGACAAATGAATAGGTGTGGAAGTTATAATTGTAAATAAACCAGGATCGAATCTATGGAAGCATTGGTTTATACGTTCCTTTTAGTTTCGACTTTACGGATAATTTTTTCGCTATCTTCTTCCGAGAACCACCTAAGGTTCCACCAACTCCAACTAAAAGAATAAAATAATTTCACTTAAGTAAGAAGTCCCCCTATCTGGGAGACTTCTTACTTAAATTAGTCTCCGTGTTCTTCGAATGGATCTCTTAATTGTTGAGAGGGTTGCCCAAACGCGGTATATAAGGCATACCCAGTAAAGCTTACAAGTAAACCAGATATGGAGATGGCGACTAAAGTTGTTGTTTCCATTTTTATAGAATTTCAAAATTACAATGGATCTACAAAAAGATCGTATTTACGACTACAACGGAATAGTATACAAAGTCAACACTAATGATTAAATAGAATCTATGGCTACACAAACCGTTGAAGATATTTCTAAACCTAGGCCAAAACGAACTAGTGCAGGTAGTTTACTGAAACCCTTGAATTCGGAATATGGGAAAGTCGCCCCGGGTTGGGGGACTACTCGTTTTATGGGGATCACAATGGCTTTATTCGCTATATTCCTATCTATCATTTTAGAAATTTATAATTCTTCCATTTTACTGGACGGAATTTTAACCAATTAGGTTTCTACTAACTAAAACTAGGAAGTCAGAGTTTTTCCATCCAAAAAAGCCTTTCTAGTTTAAGATCTACATTTCTAGATATTATGGTAGTTCGACCACGGATTTTTTTGTTTCGGTATCTCTGGAATATGAGTGTATGACTTGTTAGAATTGATCCTATTGATAATACATAGAAAGGGCCTATTATCTCTATGAAGATGATTCTAATTTGTCAGATATTATTTATTATAGTATCTGGAACACGAAATAGATAGAGTGGATAAAAAAATGGAACTATGATTCATACTCACTGTTAAGACCTCGCAACTAGACTGAAAAATTCAAGTAGTTCTTAAATAAAAATAAAAAAGAAAATTTCTTCCTTCCAATTTTGTTTCCCAAAAGACAACTTTTTTTCTCTCAATTTTGTCGAGTCATTACACTGATTCAATAAATGATTATCAAGCCGTTCTTATTCGAAGAACCCTTGCCTTTTGTTTAGCTTGAGAGTAAATCATCGTGGCTCTAGTATGAATCTAAGGCTTTAATTGAACTGATTCATAGGATCTCAACAAGATAATTTCTATATTACGCATAAAAAAACAAATCCTTTATACGGAAGAGAAAAGTAAAGAAGCCTCTAATGACCAACATAAGGGAAAGGAAGAAAGAAAGACGTGCCAACTTGAGATTTTTTGGCATTATCATCACAAAGAAGATATTCTGGATTTTTCTTATTTGATATCTTCAAGGCAAATTGACCCAATTTAGTGGCTGATGAAGTTTTGAACCTTTTTTCTAATATTCGTTGAATTTTTTTGTGTTTCTGCTTGAGCCATACGAGATGAAATTTTCATATACGGCTCTTAGAGGGGGACTGGGTTAGTTACCTATCTCAATAAAGTATATGATTGGTTTGAGGAACGTCTAGAGATTCAGGCAATTGCAGATGATATAACTAGTAAATATGTTCCTCCCCATGTCAACATATTTTATTGTTTAGGGGGAATTACACTTGTTTTCTAGTACAAGTCGCTACCGGTTTTGCTATGACTTTTTACTACCGACCAACTGTTACATAGGCTTTTTCCTCGGTTCAATACATAATGACCGAGGCCAACTTTGGTTGGGTAATCCGATCAGTTCATCGATGGTCAGCAAGTATGATGGTTTTAATGATGATCCTACATGTATTTCGTGTGTATCTCACAGGGGGATTTAAAAAACCTCGTGAATTAACTTGGGTCACAGGTGTGGTTTTGGCTATTTTGACTGCATCATTTGGTGTAACTGGTTATTCTTTTCCTTGGGATCAAATTGGCTATTGGGCAGTCAAAATTGTGATAGGTGTACCTGACGCCATTCCGGTAATAGGATCGCCTTTAGTGGAGTTATTACGTGGAAGTGCTAGTGTGGGCCAATCCACTTTGACTCGTTTTTATAGTTTACATACCTTTGTACTGCCTTTGCTTACTGCCGTATTTATGTTAATGCACTTTCCAATGATACGTAAGCAAGGTATTTCGGGTCCTTTATAGGAAAGGCATATCATAGAGAATTATAATTATCATATCGGGTAGGTTTTGGTATTTCATTGCTACAAGCATGGGTTATTGTAAAATAAGACATGTCATTTGGATACTTCTCTTCAACTCCAAAGTATTTTTATACAATACAAATAGTTGAAGTTAATTTTAAGAAGAAAAAAGGCGGATTATGGGAGTGTGTGACTTGAATTATTGATTTGGCCATGCAGATAAAGAATTGGATCTGCCACATTAGAATTCACAACCAAAGGTGTCTCCGCATCCAATTAACATGTAAGTCCCCTACCTAGGAAGGATAGGCTGGTTCACTTGAGGAGAATATCTTCTATGATCATACCGCAACCATGTCATCCATGAACAGGCTCCGTAAGATCCCATAGAGTAGAAATGGAATAAGTCATGTGACATGATCCAGTTCTCTATTTATTACACTTACCTTTTTATTATAGTATGGAAATGCATTCATTTTCTTTGCATCGATTGTGATCCGTAATACTATTGGAGTAAAAGAAGGGATCTAAGGAAGAATGTAGGCTAAACTTTTTGATTTTTTATTAGTAACAAGTAAATATTTTGTTTGGAGGTAAGAAACTTGCAATATTGAGGGGATAAATACCAACTAATCAAGAGACATGAGACAATCCACAAAGCAATTGATCATCATCAAATTTGTAAGCCCACTTGGATATTGAGCATTTACCCATAAGAATAGGATTATTTTCGATGAGTAGTTGTAGGTGCAACTTCGGAAAAGAGAATCTGATAAAGCTTTTCTTGCCTAGAGTCATTGAGTCATTATAAACCTTAATTCTATTAAGGATCTTCCGCGGTCTTATTTCTTTCACTCTTGCTCAAGCCGGATGATGATGTTCCTTTGGGGGATGGGTCCTAAAGAGTTCACCTATCCCAATAACAAAGAAAGCAGACTTAAATGATCCTGTATTAAGAGCTAAATTAGCTAAAGGGATGTGAAATAATTATTACGGGGAACCCGCATGGCCCAGCGATCTTTTATATATTTTTCCAGTAGTAATTCTAGGTACTATTGCATGTAATGTAGGTTTAGCGGTTCTCAAGCCATCAATGATTGGTGAACCGGCAGATCCGTTTGCAACTCCTCTATAAATATTACCCGAGTGGTACTTCTTTCCCGTGTTTCAAATACTCTGTACGGTACCCAATAAGTTATTGGGCGTTCTTTTAATGGTTTCTGTGCTAACATGCTTATTGACAGTACCTTTTCTAGAGAATGTCAATAAATTCCAAAATCCATTTCGCCGCCCAGTAGCTATGACCGTTTTTAATCGGTACTGTAGTAGGTCTTTGGTTAGGTATTGGAGCAACATTACCCATTGATAAATCATTAACTTTAGGTCTTTTTTAGATATTTTTTGATTCATTCAACCGTGAAGTACCATAGGTATCTAGGAAATGGTTACTTCCAAGTGAATCTTCCCTAGATACCTAAAATCCATTTTATTATGATCCATTTTTCGAAAATATAGATTGTACCAAAGATGCTAAATTGTTTCCTTTTTATTCTAACTTGAAAAAGAAAAAAATTGCAATGGATTTAAAACGAGATTATTCTTAAGTAAATCAATTGGGAGATGCTTCTCTAGAGTGTCCCATATATGTTTTCTATCTTCCATACGAAAACTGTCAATTCTCAGAAGATCTTCTTCAGTCTTACTCAAGAGGTCCAATAGTGTATGTATATTGGCCCTTTTTAGACAATTATATGTTCTAGAAGTCAATTCTAATTGATCAATAAAAATACAATTCAATGGAATTACTTTTTTGTTTTTCTTTAGATTAGTTAATCTTTTTTGAAAAATAAAAAGGGGTGGAGTAAACCTGTTTTTATTTTCTTAGAAACTAGCGCCCTCTTCCTCCGCGTGTAGAAAAGGAAGACATAAATCAATCAAATTACGAGAAGCCTCATAAAGTGCTTCCTTAGGGGTTAAACTTCCATTAGTCCATATTTTTAGAAAAAAGTATCTCGTGTTTTTCATTTCCATTCCCACAAGAAAAATACTATACTTCACATTTCGAACAGGCATGGATACAACATCTATAGGATAACTTCCATCTTGATAGTTCTTTCCGAGTTCTGTCTGATATCCACGATCTCTCTTGATCTGTAAATCAATACAGAAATCAATGGGCTCTGTCAAGTTAGCTATAGGTTGTGCCGTATCAACGATTTCTACGGAAGGCGGTAAGATGATATCTAGAGAGGTTATGTATCTAGGACCTTTGACGCAAATGGATGCATCTCTAACTCCATAGAGATTACTTCTCAATACAATTTCTTTCAAATTGAGTAAAATTTCTTGTACGGATTCTTCAATACCTGCTATTGTAGAATACTCGTGCGGGACACTCCCAAATTTTGCACGTGTGATACATGTTCCTTCTATTTCTCCAAGTAAAGCTCTTCGCAAGGCAATACCGACGGTGCCCGCTTGACCTTTTCTAAGCGGGGACAGAATGAAACGGCCATAATAAAGGCGCTTACTATCTACTCTTGATTCAACACACTTCCACTGTAGTGTTTGAGTGGATCCTGCTACCTCCTCTCGAACCATAATAGACTAGTATTATTATTTTATCATTGAATCGTTTATTTTCTTGAAATGAAAGTTGAAAGCGGGTTAATTCTTTTACATGCGTCTTTTTTTAGGTGGTCGACATCCATTATGCGGCATAGGTGTTACATCGCGTATACAACTTAATCGCACACCACTTTTAGCAATGGCTCGTAATGCAGCATCTCTTCCACTACCAGCGCCCTTTACCATAACTTCTGCTCATTGCAAACCTATTGTACGAATAGCATCTACTGCTGTTCTTTGACCAACATAGAGTGATGCTTTTCTTGAGCTTTTGAATCCACAAGTACCGACCGAGGACCAAAAAACCACCCGACCTTGTGGGTCTGTAACAGTTATAATGGTATTGTTGAAACTAGCTTGAACATGAATAAACACTTTTGTTATTCTACGTGCACTCTTCCTTAAACTAAAACGTGCATTCCTACGTAAATCAATACGCACTTTCTTACGTGAACCAATTTTTGGTATAGCTTTTGCCATATTTTATTATCTCATAAATATGAGTTAGAAATAAAAAAGAAAAAAAGATACAAAGATATCCATTTCAGGGTAAAATAAATCCTTTACTTTAATTATTTTAAATGAAATTATTTTATTTGGAATTGGAACATTTCCGCGGGTACTTTTTTTTACATTTTAGAAAGTAAAGTTCTTTTTCAAAAGATTACCCCTGTCTTTGTTTATGCTTCGTATTAGAGCAAATGACTCTAATTCGTCCGCACCTACGAATCGGTCGACATTTTGTACAAATTTTACGAATGGAAGCTCTTATTTTCATATTTTTGTATCCTTTTTTAAACTATGAATCTAATCTTTTGGAAAAAATCAGTCTCTTCGCTTGAATTTTAGAACTTAGAATTTATTATCCTAGAAAAAAAGAAAAACCTAATCCTTTGAATCTTTGGTATCCTTCAAATCTTCGCTATCCTTCAAATCTTCGCTATCCTTCGAGTCTTCGATACACTTGAAGCCTTATGGGGAAGTCTATAAATTATACGTCCCTTGCTTGAATCATAACAACTTACTTCAATCTTGACCCTATCCCCCATCAGTATTCGTATAGAACTAGACCGTATCTTTCCTGAAATATAGCCTAGGATGATGGTGTCATTCTCTAGCCGAACGCGGAACATTCCATTGGGTAGGGCTTCCGTAACTAAACCTTCGAAAGTTACTTTTGCTTCTCTTGGGTTTTTTTTCTCTCTCCTTTTTCTGTCATATTTTTTCTCCTATTTTTCTATTTTTATTTTAAAAATAGGAAGGGCGAGATAGAATTCGAGCACTATAGGCGGTGCGATTACCATATATAACATAAGACTTCTCCCCCAATTCTGTTTAGTCGAGCTTCTCGATCTGTCATTATTCCTTGAGAAGTAGAAAGAATAGCAATTCCCATTCCACCCAAAACTTTAGGAATACCTTGATAGTTGGTATAAATTCGTAAGCCGGGTCGGCTGATACGCTTTAAAAAGGTTCTTGTTCTATATATTCCTTTTCTAGTCTTTCTCTTTTGATGTCGCAAAGTTGAAACCAAGAAATATCAGTTACGTTCCTGATGTTTCCGAACACTTCCAATAAAACCCTCTCGTAGAAGTATTTTAACAATGTTTTTGGTAATATTTGTAGATACTACTCGAACTGTTCCTTTTCTATTCATGTCAGCATTTCTTATAGAGGTTAGTAAATCAGCAATAGTGTCCTTGCCTATAAGACTCTAATTCAAGGTTCCTCCTAATTTTTCTATAATCAACATGTTTTTTTCATTTTGGATTTTAAAACATATACGTAAAACACAATCTACTAAATTAATTCTTTGGTCTCAATTTCTCCTACTAGTATTTATAATACTTCAGGAGCTAATGAAACTATTTTGGTAAAATTCAATTCTCTCAATTCCTCGGCAATCGCGCCAAAAACTTGAGTTACTTTTGGATTGCCTTTTTGATCAATTATAACCGCAGCATTGTCATCATAGCGGATTATTATACCGTCTTCGCATTTGAATTCTTTACATGTACGTACAATTACAACTCGAATTACTTCGAATCTTTCTAGAGGCATTTGGGGCAACGCGTCTTTGATTATAGCAACAATAACATCACCAACACGAGCATATCGCTAATTACCAGCAGCTCCTATGACTCAAATACACATCAATTTTCGAGCTCCACTATTATCTACTACATTTAAAAGGGTCTGAGGTTGAATCATATTATTTTGATTTCAATTTGTTATTTCAATGCAAAAGGATGAAAGAAATATTGTCTTTCCAGAAAGAAAAACCAGGCATTTTTTCATCTTCCATACCCCTTTTAGGGTTCTATATCTCTAATCGAATAAATTGACTTCGTCTGGGCATTTTACTGGCAGCTATCTCCATAGCTGCTCTAGCTACAGTTTCAGATACTCCCCCATTTCATAAAGTATATGACCAGGTTTAACAACGGATACCCAATATTTGGGGGACCCCTTTCCCGAGCCCATACGTGTTTCCGTGGGTCTTAGTGTAACCGGTTTGTCGGGAAATATACGTACCCATATTTTTCCACCACGACGTGCATATTGTGTTATTGCTCTTCGTCCTGCTTCTATCTGTCTCGCCGTGATCCAAGCGGGTTCAAGTGCTTAAGAGCATATCTACCAAAACAAATATGATTGCCTCGGCATGATTTTCCTTCCATTCTTCCTCTATGTTGTTTGCGAAATCTGGTTCTTTTGGGGTTATAGTCGATGGTTCTCTTTCTTAGTTCCATCTCTACTGCAAAACTAGACATGAGAGTTTCTTCTCATCCAGCTCCTTGCGAATGGAATGAGAAAGCATGTAAATTTCTCTAATTCATAATATTCCAAAATATTACGGTACGATAGATACACTGATGTAGGGTAGAACCCTAATCGGCCGATCTTTCACGAAAGGAGCGGATCCCACGAAGAACACGAGAAACACGAGGGTGGAAACGAGGGGAAACACGAGAGAATCACTCAACCAACAAGAAACAGTCACACATATGCTAGATCCTCGAGTACATAAAGTAAGATACACGATCCACAATCAACTAGGGACGATACACGGTAACCGGTCTTCTCCGTGAGGAGGTCTTGAAGTTCTTCTCCAAAAGGAGGTCTTGAATCCAAAGGGATCTTCTCCGTAGAGGCCGCGGTCTCTCTCGTGGAGTAGATCCGATGTGGATGAGCAATGCTCTATCTCTAAAATGAGCTAAACCAATGCTAACCCTAGAAAGTTGTACGGGGTGGAGTATATATAGTCTAGGGGGGAGAAGGGATACACGGGCCTCGACCCTTCACTGTGTGCAGACAAGGGAGGCCGGATGTCCGGGCCGGTCGGGCCGGATGTCCGGGCTTTCAGGCGGCGCCGGATGTTCGGGCTGGGGGCCAGATGTCCCGGCTGGAGTGGTGGCATTTGTTGCTCTCAGGTTCAGAGGCGCCGGATTTCCGGGCCGGTGGCCCGATGTCCGAGGGCTCGGGAGAGGCCGGATGTCCGGGCTGTCGGGACCGGATGTTCGGGGCCTGTAGCTTCTGGTGGTTGTGCTGCTGTAGTGGATGACACTCCAGGGGCCGGATGTCCGGGGCCTTGGCCGGATGTCCGAGGCCTGGGAGATGCTCTTGGCTCCTTCCGTTGGTTCTCCTCATCCGTGGACTTGGGGACTTGTACATCTTCATGCACATCTTTGGGAGGGCCCTCTTGGTGCCTAATCATGCACAACACCTCGGACTTAGGTAGTAGCCATGTCTCATGCATAGAAAGTGGGAGTTCGGAGAGGAGTGAGTTCACCTTATCTTCGATAGCCTTGGCTCGGGTTCGTGTCATTGGTCCAAGTGGTGTCGTTGGAGGTGTAGGTGCATCCATGGGGATGATCTTGGGATGCTCCGCATCATCTCCCCTCCCTTGGGGAACATCCATCCTCGGATCGAAATCCTCATCACCATGTGTGACGCCCCAAGGCCGGAGCTTCAGATGCCTTCCAGAGTTTCCGGGTTTTCGTCGGGTGAGTTGTTGGTTTGTTGCATTCATCTTTGCATCATGTGCATTGCATCATGTCATAAATCTTTTGCATCTCAACTAAATAAATTGCATAGATCGTTGATCTTTTTAAATCGAGGGAACTCACATGGTGTTTTCTCTTTAAAACATACCCTCCCAATATTTAGGGAGCTATATAAAATATTCCATTAGTTTGGAATTTACCGCAACACACGTGCATATTAAATCCCTTCCTTTCCTGCTTCAAGTTTGGACTCTCTAACTTTGCCAAATTCTTTTCCCATCTATCGAGGCTCTTTTCTTTAATCTCAACATTTTTTTGAGCACTTCTAAAACCTAGCCCCAATTCAAACCCATTTGAATGATATTCAAATGAGTTTGAATTTAAATCTTGCATTCGCGCCAACTTCTATCTTCTTGGTTCCAGCTCAGTTTTATGGGTCCGGAAATTTATACGCGTGTCCTACTTCTTCCCCAATACCTCCTTTCTTCTCCTTTTCCTTTTTTTCTGTTTTTAGAAATCAAGAGAGGGAGAGAAGGGAGCCCAGCAGGCCATTTAGGCCCAGTTGCACCTAAACCTAGCCGGCTCCAAGGCCCACTCCCCCGGCCCACCTAACCCTCTAACCTAGCCCGCACCCTGCTCTCCTCCCTTGCGCCGCCACTCCCTCCTCTCGATCCCACCCTCTCTCTCCCGCAGCGCCCGCTCCTCATCTCGTCCTCCTCTCGCTGCACCGCTCGCCCGATCCATCGCCTCGCCTTCCTCCCCAACAGCGCCGTCCTCCCAGCGCCCCTCTCTCTCCGACTAGCGCTCGTCCACGCCGGAGTGCCTGCCTCCCGCGCCGCCTCTCCTCTTGCTTCTCCTTGCAGAGCACCCTCGCGCCTCGGCCTCCTTCTTCCTCGACTCCAGCCGCCCCTGCCGGCGACCAGTAGGCCGCTGCCGTCCGTCAACTCCGCCTCTCTACGCCGCTTCGCGGACACCGAGGAATGATGGGGACAGCGTCTTCCGGCCTCCATGCTCCCTCGCGCGGGCCGTGACCACCCTCAAGGCCAAGCTCCGCCGCCCTCTCGTGCCTCTGCTACACCGATCTGCGAGTCCGCCGCCAAGCTCCACCAGGCCCCCGCCGGCGACCTCGACCTTCAGGCCGTCGCCGCGCCTCCGCCGAGCCTCCTCTGGTCGCTGCCG